TAACTCAACTTTAACTCAACCCCACTATCATCAATATTATCAATATAATTAAATAATATCAATCAATCATTCTTACACACCACCTTACCTTAATTCACTATTCATCCACTCACATAATTTTAACTAACCATCACTTCAAATTTTCTCTCACCTACTTTACATCAAATCAACTTTAATCATTTTATTTTAAATATTATTTAATAAACCCGCTAACAACTAACCATACCAACTTTTTCAAAATTAACCAAACCAAACAAAAAAATCCAAACAAAACCAAAAATTTTTATATCCAATCATCCTCTAACCGTGTTGGTGACATTGTCCCATCCAACTTTTGCTTTTTTCCTTTTTATGTATTATGTATTCATTTTCTTTATTTTTTAATATATTAGGTTTCTTTTATTGTTTGATGTTTTATATTTTTTTTAATTTCTGGGTTAATTTTTTTATATTGACTAGTTATATATATGCAAAATTTTATTGTTGTCTTCATTAATTATTTTAGTTCACTTATTAATTGAGAAAGTATAAATATAAATAAAATTTGTATTTAAAATTAAGAAATATAGTTTTATAGTGAATCATTATTTAATATATTCATAATTATAATTGATGTAATATGTATGTATATATGATAAATATGTAAAACATTTAGATTATATAAAAATAAAATTGAAGTTATAGTTTTAAAATATTAATTAAAAATAAGAGTATAATATTAATTATAAAAATAAGTGGGAAACATGTGGGACCCATAAAAAAGAGGTTTATGAGGTTTGTTATTATTGGAGATTTATATGTGTAGGAGTAAGAATGAAGTTTTGGATTATGTGACATATTAGAAATAGATAAAAGAGATTTGTGTAGGAGGGTTATTAGAGATGCTCTAATGGCAAAACCTGCCAACATGGCATTTCCAAACCTATCCAAAAGCCACGGTTAAAGTTGTTCTTATGATTAAGCGTTGTTGCATTCGGATTTTGAGATTTTCAAGTTGTCAATGTGCCTCCTTTTTTCTCTACACTTGCACTTTCAAAGCTAATGGTCAATGGTGATTTTATTTTATTGAAAGTAAAGCAAGAATATGTAGTTTATATTTTTTTTTTTTTTGGTACAAAGAAGAGAGGCAAATGCCTAGATGCTAGATATTAGAACACTTCGTGGGTATGCGACCCCGAGAACATAATGATGTAGCCATTGTCGAGCTTCCCCCGACGGCTCATCTAACAGCTGGAATCCTGTTGGGCTTCGTGCGGCAGCTTTGGCCAGGCAGTCGGCCACAAAATTTGCTTCACGGTAGTTGTGAACCATCTTCACCTCCCATGGCCTCGTCAATAATTCTCTTATGGACCTTATCAGTAAACTATGGGTCCCATGTTCCTCACGGCCACTTTGTATCATTGTAAACGCACATAGGCTATCTATCTCTGCTATCACCCGTCGATGTCCCAACTTCCATGCTACGGTAAGGCCTTGGAAGATCCCCCAAAGTTCCGCTCCCGTGATTGAACAGAAACCTATGTGAGGTGAAAATGTAATACCCTTTACTGGTTTAATTAAAAAACATTTTAGAGCTAGTGATAGTTTGTGAGATTATAGGCAGAAGAAATACATAAAAGGTGGTAATAAATTTGAAAA